TAAGAACGTCTCACGATATTCACATGTGTGATGAACGACTCCGATCACCGGAGGGGCGCACCAGAATCGCCCGGCGATCGCACTACATCTCGCACGGTCCATCTAAGAACATCTCACGATCTTCACAAACCCGATCACCGGAGGAGCACACCAGAATCGTCCGCCGAGGGCAAAATCAGGTACTAGGAGGGTGTTTACGTCACATCATCGCGCGTGAAGTCGCAGCAATGCTGTAAACGCTGGGATAGGGAGAAGTCACCTCATAGCGTGAGAAGTCGCACTCAGAGCTTCTCGCAAACAAGTCAAACCCCATCTAAACGCTATGAGTCCGACGCGCAAGCGTTTGTAAGGTTTTCAATGTGATTCAGCACCATATTTCCGTCGTTTACCCATGCAAACGCTATGACAGATCATCTAAGTTAAACTGATCAATCTACACAACTTGGATTGTCCTTCCAGCGCTTCGCAATTTTGCGCAAGAACTATCCCGAAGGGACAAGCACTAAAACTGACTTGCACGAAGTCGGGAAGGCCGTACTACAACCAAGCACAATCCAGCCAGGACCCTAAACGAGAAATTTCTAGTACTAAAGCTGTACTACACCCAAGCACAACCCAGGACACTAGACCCAATCTAAAGGCTCGGACAAACTTAGAGACGACCTTACTCTCAAAACGCCTAAAGCCCACCTTGACCAGTTACCATGCCATAACTTCATGACTATTTGCGAATGTTACCTCATAAGCGAAAGGATGTTGCGATGCTATGGGGATGCGCTCAGACCCTTGTAAACGCTGGGGTTGATACGACTTCTCCCTTAAGGATACGACTTAACCTACCTCCTAGTAGCGAAAATCTTGGCCGATCGGCTTATCGCCAAAATGGCCACGGAAATAAGAGAGCACGGCTGGTCCTCCTAGTGCGCACCCCACCATTATTGTTGAGAGGCGTATACAACATCGACTGCCCCCTCGCCCTGCCGCTAAACAGCCGAGGCGGGCGGCGTAGCGTTAAAATTAGGAGACTAATACCTGTATCTGCTGCACTTGTGCACTTGCGGCAAATACAGCAATTAAACGTTAATGATAACAGCAGTAACAGTACTAACAGTAATAACGGTAGTAGCGATCATGGCAGCAAGAACAGTAATGACAACAATAACAGTAAAACAAAAGGAATACCAATAAGCACAGGCGTACCAGCAATAACAGTAGCAACAGTCACAACAGTACAATAATGGCGACAACCACAACGATGACAGTGACAACAGTACTGACATGCAACAACATGCAAAATAATCACAGTGATTCCAGTAGAATAAAACAGTAACAGCCATGACGGTAGTTTCAAGAATAACAGTAACATCAAGACATCCGCCACGGCACGATGCATCAGTGCCATCTGCTTCGTACAACATGCATGCAAAGCAGCTCCTTAATCTTTGCTCGGCACGTCTTGAGACTCTTACCTTCCCCGGCTTCTTCCACGAAGCGATGACTTTGGATGCTCCATGGTCATGGACCTTTCGTGTGTTCTGCGAACAGATGTATAGCACACAATCGCTGTCGCGGCCAGGAGAAAATGCGGAATCTGAACCAGGCTCCAGGCTCAAGCTTCAACCTCAAGTCGGTGATCCTCAGCAGCCACATTTGATTAAGCAGCTGAGCCGCACGTCATCGACAACATCACGCAGCATCTGCTTGCCAGAGTGCTCTCGCTCGAGTCGGCCCACTATTGTGGCCGACACTTGGTATCCCTGAAGCATCAAGCACCTTGGCTGACACTTGACAGTGAAGGCAGTGCTCAGGTTTTAAGGCCGAGCATGCATGGAAAGTAGACTTACATTCTGGACGAACATAGCTGAACAGCACACTGGAACCAAAACCCCATGAGCCCATGCTGAGCCACTCGTGTGATATGCCTAGTGGGCCTGGGCCACATGGTGGGGCAGCTTCGGCCCACGAAATCTGAATAGCTGCTGACAAAAGCAGCAGCCTCATTGTGACGCGCTATTCCACGCTATCTCCCAAATACAAGGTCGTCTATGCTTTGGAGCCAGACATGCTGCACTGAAAGACTTGCGCATCGACAATCCACAGTTTGTGCTGCAAAGCACGTGCAAGCCTGGAAACTAAGGTATCAATGGCTGCAAGGACAGCATCCAGCAAGGCTTGACTCACTTGCAAACAGACCTTGGGATGCAATGCGTTGTACAGGAAGTAAGGTTGAGGCGTTGAGGGTTGATGATGCTTTCAAGTTCACGGGGCCACGTTCGGAAAGGGGAAGTACACCACCGCTTGCTGTTCCGGTTTCTCTTTCACCACAGGCTGCTGCTTGGTGGCCTGGTTTCTGCTAGGTGCGTGGACGGTTTGCGTTTCCGACCTTGACAACTGTCTCTTGGAATTCTCTATGCGCCGCACAAGCTCCAGTCACCAGTCTCTGTCGACCCGAAGCACAAAGGCATAATATGACATCCAATGACCCTAGAACAGAAACAACAGCAAACCGAAAAAGAAACTCTTGTGGTGGAAAGGTGAAAGCTATGCAGCGCCGCAGCGCTCAGGAAAAGTCTTGGCTGCTCTTGGCTGTGTCGGAGTCATCTTCATCACAGGAGCCATCATGAATATGGGGGCCTCCAAAATACGAATAGGGTTTTGGGGCCCCTTATACTGTAATGATAATAATGGCCATCCCCCAACGACTCATTGCGGACGGAGTGATGACATCATGAAGCGAGTTTACAGACTGCACGCGCGACACGTACGCTCTTCTATCGAACCCCAGTAGTCCCGGCAAACCCCATAAGCAGTTCGAGCGCAACCCTGTGCCCCTAATGTCTGGAGCTGTTGAGTTGAGATATCGCCCGCTTGAGCACATGTAAACCTTCAAAGTAACAGCAAATGAAGCGATGCTTTTCCACTCGCTCACGCTCCAGCTACATCTAAGCAGAGGCAGTCCTCCCCGATTGTTGGCACGGGCGCTCCAAGACATGACCGTGATTGTCACCCCACTCATCCGACAGCGCAGTGGCCTTGCAGACTCACAGCCCCAATGCAGCCAGTTCAGGGAGGGCCAACCTGGCGGACGTCAGCGAGCTCATCTTTGGGCCTTGGTCAGGGCACCATGCGGCACCGCTCCCTGTTGGCTACCTTTTGTCCAGCAAGTTCTAGATTCTAGACCTGAGCCTCAATGCAGCGCGCCGATCCAAATGCGCTGAGACAAAGCAAGGCAGAGCCAAGAGTCGATTCCCCCCTTCATACGGGAATCTTGGGGATCATCTCCCAAGCCTGTGCCGACGGAAAAGGGCACCCTGTTCGTGAGCACTTTGCATGTTCCCAGCGAGGTAAGTGAGCCACTTCCTCATCATCCCGAGATATCCCATGGTTTGAGCGGAGTTTCTCATTTCCTTCGCGGGTGCGGCCGGGCGGCCCCATACAGGCAAGTCAGGTCTTGATGATGCTGCCAGTTTGGTTTTGTCAGAATCGGCCCTGAACCCCTGTAATCCCAACAGGTTCCGATCTGCTGCTGCATAGACTTGCCTGGGATCGTCATCAACGAAACGCGATCGTCCATCAAAAAGTTGACCAACAAAGACGCCTCCTTCTGACGCTGAGGCATGTCCATGGACCTCACTACCAGCATCAGCATGTGCTAGCACATGCATATCTAGTTGGCTACAGATTGGACAGCAAATCTTCCATCCGGACGAGCATGGCAACGGCACAAAAGGCAGGGTCTCAATAGCAAAGCTCAAGACGAGGCCGGCGTCGCCAGAAACAGATTGATCCGCACTCAGCCAGTACTGAAGCCAACTTCCGAGGTTCTGGCCAACAATGCGGCGAACGTGGCTTTGCGCAAAATGAGTCTTTGTCCTGGCCGCCGAGGCCATGCACCACCACCGACCACGGAAGGGAGCAAAGTCGGTTGAAGTTGGCACAGCCGACTCATGCACTGCCAGAGCATGGCTGTTAAGCATTATTATCTCTGCCCAACACGTCAAGAGGCACTCGTAGAACTGCTGCTGCTCATCGTCACCTCCCAACGAAGCCCGCGAATCGAACACCGAAGGATGTACTCGGGCTGTTGGCAAGAATGGCACAAGTACCCCTTTCCGCGAAAGCGAAAACCCACTCAGACCTGTAGTCACGGGAGACATGGCAACAGCACAGCGACATGCAGCCGAATACAACTGACAACAGCCGCATGCTGCTTCTGGACCCGAAAAAAAGCAAGTGCGTGGTTCGCAAGCTTCTCTCTCTTGGTGCATGGAGGCAGGGAATGCAAGCAGGCACAGTGCGACGGCACGCTTCGTTGTCCGTCAAAAAATGGCAAAAACATGTGTGCTGTGTTGTGGGGCATTGTCCAGTCGGTGGGAGCAGCTTTAAAACAAAAGCAGCTTCGGTTTCCCCAAGGTGTGGCACAAAAACACACGGAGCTTTCGAAAAGAGCTTCCTAGGGCCACTTGGAGCCGGATTGCTTTGAAGTCGATGCTGCCCATCTCAGCCACGTGCTCGATCAAGGCCTGGCCGCACAGATCTTCAAGCAAATGGGAACCTTAATAATTAGACTAGGGGTTTTGGGGTATATTATACCATAACCCTAATAAGGAACCCCAAAAGTTGAAGACAGCGCCGGGCTGCAGGCCTTGGCGCTCAAGGTGTGTGCCGGGAAAGCCAGCGCCAGTTCATCAAACCCTGCACCTGCAGAGTGAACGAAGGTGCGCAACGGGGCTCTCCAAAAAAATGCTTGCAACTTGCAACTTCCGACATCTGGTCGACAGCCCTGCTACTCTGGCAACTTCGCAACCAAGCCGCGCCGAGTGACGGTAGCAGGTTAGGCCTCAGGCCACACAGTGCAGCAAAGACCATGCAGCCGAATGTCCATGTAAGCAGGCAGAAGCCGAGGTGCACGGAGGTCGTAGTGTCGTAGGGAGCCAAGGCTTGCCCGTCAACCTAGGGCCTTGGGTTGAGGAAGGATCGGTCAGTCCAGCTCCAAAGCAAGGCGGCTGCTACTGCTTTCCCAGCTGCCGTCGGCGACTGGGAACACATCGTCGCCGAGATCTCCGGCAACGAACTGTGGACCTGGGCTAGGCTTGCTCGAGGCTGTTTTGCTTCGTCAGTCCACGGCAGGTGGGCGAGGGAATGCATCGAAGGCTCTGCATACAGCGCAAGTGCACGATGGAAAATCCTGTACATTCCATCCCCATAAAGCCCCGAGTCTTTGGCCCAGACCTTGAGCAAGATCCAGAAGTTGACCTGGCACAACTTGGCAGCTGCAACGGCTGATGTGGGCTTTCCGCGGACTCATGGTCATGGGGGAGATGCACAAAGTTTACGCAAAAAGAGATGCGCATAGGCAATAAGCTAGCGGTAACTAGCTCTGCAGAGAGACTTCATCATGCGACACAGCGGCTCATAGCATGACTGCATCAGCTCATGTCAGATGAACTTATGAATATGACAATCGCAACGTGGTAATTAATTGCAAAAATTACAGTACTATGTTATAATGTTACTGTGCAGTTATTGTATTCAAGAACTGCTACCGCATTATTGGTTATAGTACTACTAGGAAAATTTATTAAGCCCTATAGCTGATGTCAAGGCGGCTCGATGGAGAAGAAATCCTTACCGTGCGGAATCAGCATTTCATGATTGGTTTTGCTGAGTCTAGCCACCGCCCACGCCGCGCACACGGCGCGGCCGGAACGGTCACCATCACCATTGCCACTTTTATCACCAGATGTCACCATTTTCAACAACACCGTCCCTGCGACCGCCATCATATCAGGACTGTCCCAGTCGCCGTCGAGGCACAGGCAGAGGGCCGAAGGCCACCAGGGCAGTGGTATTATCCGTGGAGCCTGGCGCGAACATCTCTTGAAGCCGTTCTGCCTTTTTCTGTGTCAAATTTCGGCAAACTCGTTGAATCATCTTCCCAAGTGAGACCTACAGGCACCTGCACGGACGGCTTCCTTGATCAAGAACTCGGGCTCCTGGCAGTGTTAACCACAATACGGTCAAAACAATCAGCACAGGCACCGCCCTTGCTAAGGCTGCCGTATGCCTCAGTGAAACCCTGCGGTGAAACCCGAATAATCTTGCAATTGCGCTCTCCCACAATCCTTCTCTACGCCTGCCCAATATCAGTCCGCCAGCACCACAGCAACGGGATCGCACTGTGTGCTTCAAGCACTTCACTCCATACACAACTGCCCTGTCCGCGTTGGACCTTGCCACCACGCGCACAATGATAACAACAGTGCTGCGCTGAACCAGCTTACAGACTGCATGTAAACCCTCACGAGTGCCGTGCTTCTCACTTGTTGGCGCGGGAGACTCCATCATTGTCATCCCACTCGGCCGACCGACAGCCCATTGGCCTGAAGCCGTTGTACACCTGTGTGACCATGTCATTCTGTACCATGGCCGGCACATAGCCCAAGGCAGCCAGTTCTTTCTTGCGCCCCCCCTATCCAAGGAAACGTAGTCTTTTATCTTCTTCATCGTGGGAGTTAAGTTGCGGCGCACTTCTTGTACCTCCTTGTCAAACTGGAAGACGGCACATGCACTCTCTTCGGCAGCAGCCTGACCCCGTCTCCAGGTGCCGGTGAAGCGACGCCCGCCCAAGAAGGATGGGATTACCAAAGTAGCAACGCAGCAGCGGTTTTGGAAATGGTGCTCATAGTGCCACCGTTCGCCGTGCGTGTTCATGTACCTTGTCATGAAACTTGTGAGGGCTTCCTTCCCTGTCTTGCGTTGCCATTCGTGATCAGGAATCCCGATGTGCCTCTTCATTGCCTGAGCGGTTGTTGCAAGCTGTCCGGTCCTTATGCCCTCCAACAAGGCGGCAGGAGGCTCGTTCCGCTTGCTAGGCTGAGCTGGCAAAGACCGAACGCCCCCATGCTCCAACTCCTCTTTGAAGTCCGGCTCAAGCTCCTCCTTCCACTCCTGTTGGAACTCGTGAACAAACTCCTCCTGCTTCAACTCGAGCTGGCTCGTCCACGACTTCCGGCTTCAGGTTGGTCGGAAGTGCGCAGCCCAGACGTTGCCGCTTCCGCGGGCTTTCGAGCTTCTCGACGCTTATGTTGCGAGACGAAGGGGGGCTGGTTGTTTCCTTCGAGACCTTGCGATTCTCGGCCTTCTCAACCGCCACGCAGCTGAAGCCCTCCGCTATACCTCCCACGTGGCCAGGAAGGCCAACCTGGCGGACATCGGGAGACCTGGTGTTGGGCCTGGGCCCTAACTATGGCACCATGTGGCAAATGTGGCACCCTTCGCTGTACACTACTCTTCGCCATCAGAGCTGAGCCCCAACGCAGCGCACCAGATCCAACTTCGGATACAAACCTGTGCATGAGATGCGTGTTCTGCTTCCTGGCTACGAGGTGTTGATAGTCGTCCTCGGGATTGCTGTGGCAGTCTTTCTTGCTTGCAGCATAGAAGATTTTCGTTCATCTGGAACCGCAGAGGGGTGTCTCTAAATTTCGAAGCTGAGATGCATGCTTGTTCACCCCCTACACCCTGAGCCCAACTCAATCGTATCGCGCCTTGTCACCGCCCCCAAGCCTGTGCTCGCCGATCACGCCCGGGACAGTCAGTGGACCTTCGTCTGGGCAGGAGATTCGCTCCAGACCACAAATTGCAGCTCCTATCTTGGGGCATCGAATTTCCTGAAGACTTTACCGATTACCCACATTTCCCTTTCAGTTGCACTCCACTGGCCCTGTCTGCCGAGGCGAGCTTTTGTTCGGGATGTGATTTGTGGGCGTCGGGCATAGGGTCAGGCCAAATTCTAGCATATAAACCAAACTCGCAGCATCACCGTGATGTAACTTGCTTTGTGTTGGACCGCCCATCGGGCACGGGTCGACGAAACGACAAGTCAGGGTCTACCTTGGAGGATGCCTCCGCGGCTCGAGTTCGAGAGCTGGGTGGGCAAACTGTGTCCTTCAAGGCGCACAGCCCCACAGCAGACAAAGAGTAATGAACGCAGAATTTTCCTGGGTCAATTGACAGTCAGACCTGGCTTTGCTGTTGAGGTTCAACTTGGACTTGGGGATTCGGACTCTTGACTTCGGGATCGGAGCTTGATGGTGCGTGCGTGCGGGAAAGGTTGCATTCGGAGTGGCCTCTTAGCCCGTCACGAGGTGATGCATGCCACTTCCCCGCAATTCCCCGCATAGGCGTTCCTCGTAAAACAAAGAGCTGATGTTGAGGAGGCAGCTCTGCATTTCGAAGCCTGGGAGAACTTGCCCGAGAGGCCTGGACCAGAAGTTCTAGAAGAACACAGACGAGCGAAGCGCCGAGATCAGCCTCCATGCTCGGATCAGTTTCGTGGTGCCAGGAGACGGACCTTGACAGCTTGCATCTTCGGAGCTTTGGGGCAACTGTTCTGACAGTTTGGAATGGTAACGAGCACGTAAGGATGACATTACTACTAACTAACAAGCGGCAGCAACCACGCAGTAGCATACCTCTGCAGAACACAGTGCCCCCCCCCCCCCACAGGTGGTGCGGGGCCAACCAACAAGACCACAGTCTTGGCCAAAATCTGACCAAGCTCCGTACCATTGACATCGAAAATGTGAAAAGCTGCTTTGCCTCGGCAGCGTGTAGCAGAAACTCCAGCGCTGACACCGTCAGAGCTTAGCTTCCCACAGACCTGTTCCTGCAAATACTGCTTCTTCGAGATGTTGGCGGCGATGAACCTCGGTCGGTCGGTCTTTGCGAGTCATTTGACCGCAAGTCCTCGGACATGATGCGCGCTGACTCACGAGGTTACCGTTCCAGCTTAGCAGGCGACCCTGTGTAGTTTACGGTGCCCCTCCCATCGACATCGATCTCATGCATCAGGCGCCTTGGATCAAAACACATGTGTACCCAAAACTGACACCAAGCCAAGAGCCCCGTTGCCGCACCTCATTTCGATACGGATCGACTCCTCCACTTCTAAGCGCTCCAAGGCGTCATCGATCTCCCCCACCTGGCGAGGAGTGCTATCGGACCTTCGGTTCCACTGAGTTCTGCGACTCTTTGCAAGCTGAGCAGTTTGCTGAAAGGGTGCCCGAATGGTCATCGTCCAACGACCGGAAAATGCCGCGAAGCTTCTCAATGGTGTCATCCGAGATCTTCAAGGCTACACATCAGCACACACCAGCAGGCTTGGAGGTCAGATCCTGCATGGGGCCTGTCGAGCAATCTGAAGCGCAACCTTCTTCAGCCGACTCTGCGACGACCTCCGTGCGAAAAGGTTAAGGTCCGCATCTGAGTCAGGTTATCTTCCTTGCGTGGATACTTACGACCTGGCACCCAGCTCATTATTGGATCCTTAAGGGAGGGTGGTTCAAGGGGGGAGGGTATAAGGAATCCTTAGGGGACTGTAAGGGAACCTTAGGGAGTACTAGGGAGAATTAGGGATCACTAGGCTATATACCCCCCTTGGACCCCCCTCCCTTAAGGATACTACAAGCTCATGCTCGTACCTCCACATCGGATCCTTTGAACTTGGACCTGACCGGATGTCTTGGGCCATGGCATCTACCCTGTTATCCTGCTTCGCTACCTGGCAGAATTTCGAATCTACCGTCAAGCAAAAGATCAAACAAAACAAGCTATGCTGCAAGCGGTCCGGGATCAAAGGCACCTCCTGGCGGTCGGCTGCTAAGACCTGCCGCAAAGTCTCACTCACAGCTGTATGTCGAGACCGCGCGGAACTCGGGCTCCGCGCCTCAGCAGAGTGAGGTCTCGCATCGACCTCTTTCGTCAACATGCTGGACCAGCAGCCGTGGATTAGGCCCGAGAGCGACAAGAAATCTGCAAAACGTGAGATATCTTGGGCCTGGGCTCCTTCCCTGACTCAGACACACGTCGCCATGCCTTCTCTGGCTTGAAATCCCACTTCCTCGGCCACTTGGCCATGGACATGCCGAGCCGGCTAACCTTCTGAGATGGAGTCGGCTGGCAAAAACTACGGGGCGCGAACGCCTTCTTCACCTTCTTCATCAGCTTGACGTCATCGTCACTGTGGAACAAGGGGTTCTGGCCAGCATGACGAACAGGCCTGGCCTCACAGATTTGTGCCTTCTTCTTTGACCGACTCTTCTTTGAAGCAGACGATGGCTGACGTGGACACCTGAATAGCAGAAAAACTCTAACTCTGCGCTCTTCGAGACCCTGCTGTTTCTTCTCAACGCCCTGCTGTGAAGCATCTGTGCCGCCTACAGGCAGCAGCATGCAAAGCTTCGCAGATTTGACCGGGTCCGTCTTATGCCCTCTTCAGTGTTGTTTGCACTTCGACTCTGGAAGATCTTTGAGAATGTTTCTGCCGCATTTCCTGGCGGGCACAGCTCGGTAGAGGCGTGTCTTTTCGTCGACGTCTGACCCTTTGTTGCTTAATTGACCTTGCCTCGGACAGCGAAGTGCGACTAAAAGCCCTATCCAAGTCACGGTGCCTTCAAGTTCATGGAGGAATGGCTGCTGCTGCCTCATTCTGGCGAATACAGGACAAGTCGGGGTCCAGGCATGGATCTGGCCGCCCAACCCTGCCAGCACCCGCAGGGGTTGACGTGTCCTTTCATGTGACAACTGTTTCATCGAAAAGACTCCTAACGTTGCACTCTCATTTGACATCCAACCTATGCAACAAACTCTTCGACAAACGGAAGCATCTGTCCTCAACCGCCATACCTCCACGGCGGAGGTTTAGTGTCCATGGCGAAATACTGCATTGTAGATTTCTTGTAAGGTCTGTTTCTGTATTGGGCCTTGCCCCTGTACGCAACATCTTCGTGGAGCCAAGAATGCACCGACCGATGGGCACAGGAAACAAGGACACATGGCCTGCTGTGCAACTGCGGAATCTCTGAACACATTCCTTCTCGCAGCTCCTCGCCCATGGAGCATCCACCGACTAGTGGTGCGTGCAGATTCACAAGCACCGCTGACTTCAAAGAACTTCAGATTCTCAGGTCTGATCTTGGCAATCTGGGAGACGCCGAAGTTATCCTGAACAAAGGCTGTCATTGACACAGCAATTGCACGCACAACGTACCATGAGACAGCATGACAAACAGATTCTGTCCATCAGGGGCAACAGCACGTTGCAGCGGTTGGTCTCATAGGTGTCGATGATGCCAGTGAAACCGCTAAAGATCGGACATTTCAGCAGAACATCGACCATGACAGCTGCACCTGCAAGCAAGCCCTGCGGCACCTGTGGCACAAGCACCGGCACCGTGCTGAGCAAGCGAAATTGGAGTGCAGTTGCCACGTGATGCGGCTGTGTGCTCAGAATCACGGAAGCCACTGGCATGTTTCTTGTTGAGCTTCGGAAGGCTTCATCAAGAAACCCACCCTCCAGGTGGGAAAAGGAGTGTGCGCACTCCTCTCGAGGCTCGTCCGCAGCCTCGGTCTGAACTTCGATCTCTGTTGCGGTGACCACGGAATCCGCAGAGTCGTCTTCCTGAATGTGACGGGGAGAACAACGGCTCTGCCGGAACCCCACTGAACCCATGTGCAACACGTATGGCCAGCTGCACATCCTACTACCTTAGAAGACGACTAGAATAGACTGCGTGACCCTGGGGACCATGGCAAAGGAAAGTTTGAGAGACAGGACAAAGCCACTGCCCTCGCATGTTCGCGGCTGGTTTTAGAACAAAAACAGCCTTCCAAAGGGAGACAAGGCAAACCACGCTACATGCCCCCAAAGGCGTCCACATGTTCCCGGCTGACTGTCAAACAGCTGCCAAAGACTGGAGACGGTAGACTGTCAACAGAAACACGGCGAGGCCGTTGCCCTCAAAATCTTAGCACGAAGCCACCTTCCACATGCACAGATCTGGCTGCCATGCACAAGACTCCGAAACTGTTGCAAACCTTCCTTTGGCCTAGCTGCGGCTTGCTCCTCCTCCTCGGGCGCGGTTTCCTCCCCTTTCTCCTCTGCTTCCTCCTCCTCGGACTCGGTTTCGTCCTCCTTCTCATCCTCCTCTTCATCCTCTTCCTCCTCACCCCCACGGAACTCGCGAGCAAGGATGCCGCGGCCCTCTTCCCACAGTGCGCCCTTTGCCTCCACCACCAGCTGGCACGGCGCCCACTTCTTCTCTTGCAGTCGCGCGAGGAATTCCAGGGCCATGGCAAGTAGGGCTGTGAAGGGCCAGTGAGGACGAACGCCGTGACGTAATTCAAGCCAACTTGAACGCAACGGACAGAGAATGTTGAAGACTTTGGCTATGCGGGGAATTGCGGGGAAGTGGCATGCATCACCTCGTGACAGGCTAAGAGGCCACTCCGAATGCAACCTTTCCCGCACGCACGCACCATCGAGCTCCGATCCCGAAGTCAAGAATCCGAATCCCCAAGTCCAAGTTGAACCTCAAGGGCAAAGCCAGATGTTGCTGTCAACCCTTCGGACAATTTTCTGTGTCGACATTCACGATGTGGTCCATCCAGCGTCACAGCTGGAGGTGGACTCCATCTTCGCCACCGTTGGGTAGCTGGCGATCAGCCTCCAAGCTCGGATCAGCTTCGTGGTGCCAGGAGACGGACCTTGACAGCTTGCATCTTCGGAGCTTTGCGGCAACTGTTCTGGCAGTTTGGAAGGCCAGGCCGCCCGCCATGAACAGCTTTCGCTGGGACGCGAAAGCGAGGGACTAGCGCCGTCAGCATCCAGTGTGTCCACGGCACCGGCCTCCAAGGCCATTCGTTTCGCTGAATTTCTCCAGTGCTGGGATGATTCCCTGTGTCTCATAACAAATCCGCAAGCCTCAAGAGACGCTTCGTTGAGGTCCCCCGGATTTCGCTGAGGTGCAGCAACTGCCGAGTCAGCGCCGGGGCTGGCGCTGCTGAAGGCTTCGGCGGCCTCAGACCCGGGATGCAAAGCAAGCAGTGCAAGAAGACGCAAGAAGAGGTGCTCCCTTGGTCCCCTCGCTTGGTTCCGCGCCTCAATCACTCGAGCATCTTCCTGGCCACCCGTGGTGCATCACGCTCTGACCTCAGCCGCGGCCGGTTCTAACGGCAGGAGCCGTGGCTCAGGGCGGAAGAGTCATTCCCTTGGCGACAAGCAGTGATTTGCACGAGGTCACGTGCACTCGATTCGCCTGACTGCCCGCAATTCTCCAAAAGGCAGCTGCAACTCGAGAATCCGATGTGGTCATGACCGCTTCTTGCATGAAATGGATGCTTGCAACTTTTGGTGCAAAACCGGCTCAGTGCCACACAGTCAGGTCGGTGCGAAACCCTTTTTGCAAGCTTGAGGCTCATGTCTCGATGCTCATGTCGTCGATGTGAAGGTGGTGCTGCTGTTGTTGTAATTGTTGACTGTTGTTGTGGTTGTCGTTGTGGTGGTTGTTGTTGTCCTACCGCCGGTCGCTGTTGGAAGGCTCATGGAAGCAGACCAGGCGCCCTCTTGGCAGATCTGCTCTCGGGTCCCCCCCCCCCCCGGCCCTCGGCCCTCGGCCCGGCCCCACACAACCCGCAACGACCCAAGGCAGAGCAGAGGGACGATGGAGAGTGATCCCAGCCAGTGCTTCACAGAGCGGAGAACTGCATCAGAGCAGGGACAGGGACACCACTTGCAAGGAGAAAAGAGCAACATCAAGTTTTGTAGTATGGTAACCAGCACGTAACGATGACATTACTACTAACAAGCGGCAGCAACCACGCAGTAGCACACCTCTGCAGAACACACTGCCCCCCCCACAGGTGGTGCGGGGCCAACCAACAAGACCACAGTCTTGGCCAAAATCTGACCAAGCTCCGTACCATTGACATCGAAAATGTGAAAAGCTGCTTTGCCTCGGCAGCGTGTAGCAGAAACTCCAGCGCTGACACCGTCAGAGCTTAGCTTCCCACAGACCTGGACCTGCAAATACTGCTTCTTCGAGATGTTGGCGGCGATGAACCTCGGTCGGTCGGTCTTTGCGGCTCATTTGGCCGCAAGTCCTCGGACATGATGCGCGCTGACTCACGAGGTTACCGTTCCAGCTTAGCAGGCGACCCTGTGTAGTTTACGGTGCCCCTCCCATCGACATCGATCTCATGCATCAGGCGCCTTGGATCAAAACACATGTGTACCCAAAACTGACACCAAGCCAAGAGCCGCGTTGCCGCACCTCATTTCGATACGGATCGACTCCTCCACTTCTAAGCGCTCCAAGGCGTCATCGATCTCCCCCACCTGGCGAGGAGTGCTATCGGACCTTCGGTTCCACTGAGTTCTGCGACTCTTTGCAAGCTGAGCAGTTTGCTGAAAGGGTGCCCGAATGGTCATCGTCCAACGACCGGAAAATGCCGCGAAGCTTCTCAATGGTGTCATCCGAGATCTTCAAGGCTACACATCAGCACACACCAGCAGGCTTGGAGGTCAGATCCTGCATGGGGCCTGTCGAGCAATCTGAAGCGCAACCTTCTTCAGCCGACTCTGCGACGACCTCCGTGCGAAAAGGTTAAGGTCCGCATCTGAGTCAGGTTATCTTCCTTGCGTGGATACTTACGACCTGGCACCCAGCTCATGCTTGTACCCACAGCCTTCTACCGGGCCTCCCACAGACTTGGATGGAGCATCATGCAGCCCGTCTGCGAGTATGTGTGTACGCAAACCGGTGGTAATGAGTAAGGACCGCCACCAATCAGAAGCAAGTGGCAGCGCCAGAAAACTACGGCATTACTGCATAACGAGGAAGTTCTGATCAACTGGCGCAGTTGAGAGTGAACATGTGTATGCACACGTCGCAGTGACCTAACGGAGCGTTATGCATTTGAGTGACAATCAAATACAGGAGCAGGGAACTTACCAAGTCTAGTAAGTACCTCACTCGCAGGGGCATAAGCATTCAGAATTGCAGTGACCTTACTTACCGGTTCTGCCGGGCCCCATGATCCTGTAGGTAGGGCATAGGCACAGGGCCACGCCAAATGTTCAGTAGGGAGGTGAAAGATTAAGTTTGATGGCGGAGGGCGGGGAAGGTGAACAATGAAGGGTTATCCTTCGCTGTGGGGGTTTCGGGCAGGGGGTGTCTTTCACGGTGGGGGCAGGGAGGGGGAAACATCAAACTTTCTGCTTCATGGCGGGGGGTTGGGGGCCAAATGGACATTAAAAACCAAATCTTGTCTTTCACGAGGGGTTGGGGGGAAGGTGTTGTGTGAAAGATGAACTTTTTGTCTTTCACGGCGGCGGGGTGGGGAGGGGGGCGGGGTGAAACTTGCAAGGGGATCTTTCGCTGCCTGTTGTTGAGGTGTGGATGTTTCGGCATGGGATGATCTACAATCTACAACTTGTTGTATGCCGGGCGGATGTTTGTTCATGGGAAAATGTTTTTGTTTTTTGTCGCTTCATTTCGTTTCTTTGAAGGTTTTGGGTCTGCTCCATCGAGAATGCGTGAAATGGGGAAGGCGGGGGCGAGGAGAGGGGGAGTTTATCTTTCACTCCGCTCCCCACCCCAATCCCCGTCGTGAAAGTAAGTTTCATCTTTCACCCCCCACCCCGCCCCCAACATGCGGGCGTCAAAGATTTTCATGTTTCACCTCCGCCCGCAACCCTCCGCTGTGAAAGATAAAATTTACTTTTCAAACCCTCCTCCATCGCCCCCAAACTCACGATACAGCGTTTTTTTTTACAGTCCGTACACCTGATGCCTTAACACGCTCCAAAACGCAACACGCAGGATACCTGCACGGGCCCATGAAATTCGGAGATGCTCCCAACCCTCGAAGTCGCTCGCACCTCGCAAACGCCGAAGAATCCTGAAAACGACTTCCGCAAAACACCGTTTCCACCGAAGCTCCGGCGCATTCCGGCCACCACCACCAAAAACGTTCCCCGAACTACTGACGCGATTTTCACGCACCAAAGCCAAAAACGGTCACCGCACACAGGCGAAACGTCACTTTCTGCATACCCGATGATACCACCACTTCCTGAAAAAAGGAGTCCGCGCACCGTCAGGGTTGCAAACTCCAGAAACCGTCCCGTCCCGAAGCGAAAGTGTCTCGGACATCGTATTTTACGACGGACCCTGATTCGCGAGCGGAGGTAGTGGCAACGGTGCCACTGCGCCGTTTTTTGCGAGGGATCGTACGCAGGATCCCTCGTAAAAAGAACGATATGCGAGCCACTTTTTGGGGTGTCAAAGTGCACGAAGCATCGCGGCAACCGACAAAAACGGACTTGGGTACACTTCCCTTTGGAGCCACCCCCGTTTTATAATCGATCAACTGAAATCAACCGATTACGTTAATTCATTTTGCTCAGTTTATATAAACCTATACTAGCGGATACTATAGCTTATATCCATTTATAGAGATCTGTACTAGTCGATACTAAACTTAGATAAACATAGACTAGTTTATATAAATCTATACCATGATCGATAGTTGAACCGATACATTCTGGATACGTTCGACGAAGACCTCCACAAAAGAACCCGACCTTTCGGGAATAATGCAGCACTATGTGACACTGGATTCCACTGGCGCCCTTTCACAGGCTCCAAGCTGCGGCGATTTAGACCTGTCACATCTTTCGTCTGAGGTTCCAGCGCACGACATGGTACACCTGAACGGCCTGTGCGACTGCACGACGATAACGGTTCATTCACAAACCTCCCGAAAGGTGCGGCAGGAAAGAAACCTGCCTGCGCGAAGTCCACGGGCATCTGAACCGATGCAAGGTTTGAGCAGTTTGGCGGACTCGGCTCACAGCGACGGGACCAAACACCGCAAAGGCTGACCAGGATGACCAGAAGGAAGGTCATCTGTGAAAGCCTGAACAGCATACGAGGACTTGAAACTCATTGCACTCCCTTGTGTAGTGCCGCTGGGAGCGTGGTTGCGACTGCCTGCGAGCCCGAAACAATGCCAAGGAGCTCCGAGGCGGGTCGCACCAGGCGCCAGCTTGCAAGGGCATCGAACTGGCATCGCCATGCAGGGCCATGCATGGCTGATCTTTGTGTGGTACACTGCTACATCGCCACTAAAACTAAGCAGGCGCCCGAAGACGAAACTCAACTCCTGATTACAGCTCCGTGCTCAGCAGAGCTCAACTCTTGTGCACTCGAAGTTCTTCAAAGTGGCTAATCGAAACGTTTGTCTCCCCTGAAGCTAATGTTTAGTTACAGAAGAGCGAACACGTTTAGAAGTTCTAGGGCGGCTTGCGACGTGTCAGCAATCCGGCATCGGCTTGAAGCATAGATTCCGGATGAAAAACTGCAAAGACAGACTCAAGCCTGCCAATAAAGCGTTCCTGTCAAATACTTGCCGTAGCTCTTCCTTCAGATCTGGTTGAATGCTAGTGTTCTCGAGCATTCGGACGGCTGATACGCTTTGCCAGCTGGGACCTGTCCCCGTTGGCCCGTTGTGTCTGAACCTCAAGATGCACCAGTCAAAACACTCTTGTGACTTTTCATCGTGGTGCGCCCTCTTGTCTTTGGGCCAGCTTGCATGGGTCGTGAAAGCCAGGGCTTCCCCATGAAATCTGGGCTATTCAAGAAGCAGCTTGGCAAGTTTCTGCTAGCCGCTTTGCAGCCATGCTTGAAGTATCTCAATTGATGGGCGCTTTGAGGTTCATAGTCCTCATTGCGAACCAAATCCAAGAGGTGCCTTCATTTCGCGTGCTTCCGGTTCTTCCAGAGATTGATAGGAAAACCGCCGGTACTCTACATCCGCGGAGAGGTTGTCCAGGTCCGAGATGAAGGTCACCGCGAAGGCGTTCAGCGCAAAGTCACTCGCTGACCCAGAGGTTGCCAGGTAGACTGGGAGCGAGTACACGATAAAGATCCGATAGAGGCCGTTGGACACATAACCTGACGAGCTCTTTTCGGAGTAAACGGGACAAACTCTACTGGGGAAGGGGGTGCTATAGAAACAGCAACCAGCAAATCCGTGGCTTCCTCAGCAAGTCACACATGCAGAAGCGGAGCACGACTTCCGCTTGGCTGAGCCTTAGTCGAGCGGATGCGTCCTCGCCTTCCGACAATGGGTCCTGCCCCAGCAGGGCCACCCACAACTCGTGGTTGGTTGCCTGCGAGTCATCCAGGCGCAAGGCCCAGCGGCTGATCTTGGTGAAGGAGGTTTCGGAATCAGGGCGGAAGGAGTTCAGGCTGATGTAGTATTGCACGAACAGGGAACATGCCCAAAAAAAACGGGAGAAGAGCGTCATCGCGATGGGCGCATTAATAGCGGAGTAATACACACAAACGAAGATGGAGGAGAGCAGGAAGGTTTGCATGCAATGCGAGATGGGCACTTTGGGATCCTGGTATATGTTTACTGCTGTCACGGTCTGGCTGCCGACAACCCCCTTCTTGGCTTCGGCAAGGGCACTGCGGAGGTCATTCATCATAAAGGCCGAGAAGGCAACTGCGAGCAGGGCAAAGATGGGCCAACTTTCAGGGAGGTAAGTGTTGCATGAAACCTGCAGCAGCACGTCAGGTCGAAGCAGGAGGCCAGGCACCAGAGCGTAATGGATCAGGGCATTGCAGGCCGACAACAGCAAAGGCTAGGTGCAGACCCACCACTAAGAGCAGCATGTACTGGAAGTGGTAAACCCCACTTGTGTCCTCCAACTCCTTCTCCGCTTTCAAGTCTTCAAGCTCTTTGGAGTGATCCAAGAAGCCAGCTTCTGCTGCCAGCATCGCGGCATTCTCACCTGTGGCCGACATTTGGTCTATGGGAGTCTGTCGCAACTTTGCTTCCGCCAAAAGGCATTGGAAACGATCAGGGTCACCTGCGAAGTTTCCCGAACTCGCTTCCATCAACATTGTTTTATCTTCACTGCTCTTCTCCTCAAGAACCTGCGGGTTCTCCGTTGAGTACTGCATCGCAGCCTTGGGGTAGACCAGAGCGTAACTTGCAAGACTTGGAGCTGAAACTGCAGCTGGATCCGCCATCTTCCGCCAGTTCAAGAAGATTTCGAAACCATCCGCCAACGTCGCATTATCGAAAGAGTTTGACAAAATCAACGGCTTAACAAGGAGCCATCTTCTCAAGCTTCCCCAAGACACCAGTCGGATCATCCGTTTGTCAATGTCAACCTTATTCTTGCGAGCAAAGTCGATTCCCTGGTCAATGAAAGTGGAATTCCCACTGGCACCTTGTGTGAACAAGTGCCGAACAATCTCGAGACGGCTGCCAAGATTGCTTTCCGCACGAGCCCTCACCTTTGCTTTGTGTTGAAAGGCATAGTCAATTTCACCTTCCTTGTCAATGCCGATAAACGCAACATCGCCAAATGCAGCAGCAGCCAGAGCTAGATCTGCCAAATGTGGATGCTTCTTCAGAGCGGCAAAAGCCTCATCCTTCTGTCCGACTGTTGCAGCGCATATCAATTGCTGAGCTTCTCTTTCTTCAAGAGTAATGCCCGGAAGATGTTCGATGGGACAGGACATGAGAATCGCATTCCACATTTCCCCTTTGTATGTCGTCCACTTGTCATATTTGTAAGTCTGGTTGCCAGTATAGAGGTACCGTGACCCATCATCGAAGGCGTCGTGGTCCTGGTTCTCCTGCGTCTGGGACAGATGCCTGGCAGAAGAGGAAGGCCACGCCAGTGGCTCACGCTTCTCTGGCGTCGCCGAAGTGGCGTGGTGCTGCTTGGCACAGCGAGCTTCCAAGGCTGCGAGGCGACTCTGGAGATCTTGCACGTCGCTCACACTAGCAACGCGCTTCTCCAGGTCCTTCACGTAGCTCCAACACCACGAAAGACCCGACAGACCCGAGGCCAAGAGCAGAGCCAACAGCCCCAAAAGAAGCGACGAGCAAGAGCACGCCATGGCTACTTCTACTTGTACGAGAACTTGCCTTCGCCTTTCAGCCAATATCTGTGAAGCCCGCATAGAGTGGCACGCGGAGTTCCTGACAGATGCAGTCCCTTCCTTTTCCCACGACACCAAGCTTATGCATATTGGCAAGGTTTCAAATGGTGAAAACTCAACTTGCCCCAGCATCGGACCTTGGAAATAACACAGGCGTGCGACATGACAACATGTAGTACTCTTTGACATAACACGAAGCTTGAACCCTCGCGAGCCTGTCTTTTAGCTTAAACGAACTCATCCGAAGCGAACTTCAAGCATTCCTCGCAGACCGCCGCGACCGGACAAAGACTGAGTCGTGTTCCGGAATGGAGCCCGGCACTTGGAAACAACAGGGTTAAGGGTTTGGGGTTTAGGGGTTTAGGGTTTACGGGTTTAGGGTTTAGGGCAGAACACAGACACAATGGTCTCTCAGCACCAAGGCGTGTACCAAGTATCCACGGAAAAACGAATGCAAAAGCTCTGGATACACAATAGCATGCCCGGCTGCATCTGCCTGAACCGCTGCAGACACAAAACGGACTTCACGGTGTCTTCACGAGACAGTGGGCCGGTCACATACTCAAAAGACATACAATACACGGTGAAGCAGTACACAAGGCGCACAAGGCCTTGACATCATCAAAGCCAGTGTTAACAGCGCGAGGAAACTCAGCTTCCAGGCCTCAATCCAGCCCTCTCTCTATCTCCCTCGCTTTCTGCTTCTGCCAAGCTGACAGGTTCTGCAGTCAGATCTTCAAGGTGGCGACGGCAATTTCGAGTGAGGAGATGCTTGACCTTGCGTCTTGTTCAAAGCCATCGCTGTACGTGTGAACAGTCACCACCCGAGCGAGCCTGCAGGAAGATCGGTTGATTGCCTGGCCCCGGCACTACATCTCGATGTTCGACAATGCACATGCTAGCCGTAACAGCCTGTCTGCGGTAGAAACTATCTTCTGCAGCAAGGAACGCGGGGCAAGACCCCACGCTTATAGAATTGCCCTTGCCATCATTCTTGATCCAAACTGTTTGGCTAAGCCCGAAACAGTCCGTGATCTGCCAGCACTATTTAACACCCTGCATCCAACACTGTTACCCACCACGACCCCTACATAGCTCTGCGCATCAACGAAGTGGGAATCAGGACATCAGAGCCAGTACACCCCTCGAACGAGGAAGCTAAACACGCCAACGAAGTGGCCCCGCTACCCCTTTCTCGGTTTGACACTCGAAACGACGCAGCTGCGCTAGACCGCACGCGGCAGCTCAACCTTAGAACGACCTGGCTACTGCCAACATGTCTCGAACTTGAAAGTAAAACAACAGCTAGCCTTGCTCGATGGCTTGTATCATTCAACATTCCTCGAAAAAGCCAAATCCTAACAGCCCTGAGTTGACCTTGCCCTGACATGTCTTGATTTGAACACACGAGTGCCGGTCGGCCATAAGAAGATGCAAATGATGCCCGGGCTCTGCCACCACATCTCGATGTATGACATTGAAGACGCTGGCCTAACAGCGGGTAGAAAATATCTTCTTCAGCACTGGCCGCAGGAGGCCAAGCCGGAAGGTGATTGAATTGCCCCGGCACCATTCTTCATTCTTGATCTCGACTCTGTGGCTAAGCCCGAAACTGTCCACGTCCTGCCACCACTCACTCCGGTCTCCCCAAGCAGAATACTAAAGGCGGCTTCCGTATCCGCGCCAAATTCTAACGGAAAGCTAATTGAACGCTGCAAATACCACCGTTCCTCGACACTCCACGTCCACAACTGATGTCGCCTCCTGTGCCTGAAAATACCTGACCTTGCAACGATTACGTGACCCGCACAACATAACTCTGTCTTTCAGTATATCGGGAAGCAGGACATTTGCAAGGCCACTTCTGCTACGAAGAAAAATCTACAAGAAATAAACATTTTCTTAAGGAAACCTACGAATACGACACGAAATTCATCCAAGATGTATGTTTTTCCTAGGAAAAATCAAGGAAATTAGAAGAAAAAAGACCCTCCCTTCCAAAACTGCTGCCCGCGCAAAGGCCCATTTTGGAAAATAAGGTCACCCAAATCTCCCCAAGTCGTAGCCCTGCTCGCGGTGGCAAGCGGCCGCGTGATGTGCTGCTGCGAGGGGCAGCACGGTTTCGGTCGAGGACTGCAGTGCGAGCGGCTGCCGGCGGCGCTCGAGCTCGAATCGTGGCAAGCAGTCTGCCCAGTATGCCCAGTATAATCGGCGGGGGCGGCGTCCGCCGCAGAGCGCAGCCCCAGCCCCCTGTACCGCAAAGGGAGCTGAGCGAGGCGCTGCGAGGGCTTAGGCAGTGGCTGTGGGGGCAGGGAGTCCTGCGACAGCAGGGTCGCTAGGCATGCGCACACGGCAGCGCCATGCTCGCGCGCAAAAGACTCAGTCGCGCCAGGCGGGAGCATCCGGAGCAAGTAGTTGGCACGTGGGGAGGCGCAGAAGAGCAAGAGAAGCCACGCGCACTGCAGGTCCCCAACGGCAGGCAGGCGGGTGAGCAGTTGGTCCTGGGTCTCACGCTTGCGGCGCGGGAGGCAGCCGCACGCGTACCTGCGGAAGTTGCTGTCGCCGAATAATAAGGCCTCTCCCGCCACTGCGCTCCGCAAACCTAGCGGCCAACGCAGCATCGCAACCGGCGACACCTCCTGGCGCCTCGTGTCATGCAGCCTTGCACGGATATTCGCTGAAACTTTTGACGAAGCGACCCGACCTTACCAGTTCGCGCTGCAAACTTCGTGCCGCTGTCGATCTCGACTGCGCTCAAGGCCCTAGCATGATGCCCTCGTCGCCGCCGATAGCGTAGCTGTGGCTCCCGCGGGTGTCTCGCCGTCTTCCTGGCCGATGTTTACTTGGTCACCACGCCGGCTCGCGCTCGCGAAGCACTCGATGTCGTTGGTTGCCGGGTCCTTTTTTGTACAGTGTCCCAGTTCGGAAATGGGATTATTATGCCGACACTTAACACTAGCCACTGCTGTTTCTGACTTGGGGAGTGAACATCCGGAGCCAAGTGGTAGCCTCTGGGACAGTGGAGGGCTGGCAGCATGGGAGTTGATGCACCAGTAGACTCGCCTCCGACGTGCAGGTTGCCGTGCGAGCGGCAACGCTCGCAGCCTGGGTGGCGCGCTGGTCGGGGCTGCTAGCTGTCGCAGCTCCGTCTCCAGAAGAAAAAATTTGAAAAGCCGCACGGCAGGCACACGGACGTCGACCGGAGAGGAGCGCACTGCTGCGTGGCATTCCGAGTTTGTTTGGAAATGAGCGCGCAGCCATGTGGTGTCCATAGCATCCCGTCACACTCTCCACAAGGACCGGGCTTGCAGATGTATGCAATAACGTCCCTCGGAAATGACCGCACGGCTCAGGACTGATCGTACTGTCTAGCATTGGAAGCTTTCAAACAACCGCTCAGCCGTTCGGCATCTGCACTTCAAGCTCTTCTCGAGATGCCTGAAGCTCATGCTCCATGATTCTGAAGTCCACAACGCTTCGTGTGCGTGTGCATAGCTGGGTGCGGTGGAAGCGCGAGGCCGGTGCCATCCGGTGGCCCAGAGCGAAAGCCTTTCGTCGAAAAGGCCCCCCCCCCTTTCAGGCCTCCTTCTCCTTCCCTCCTTTTTTTATAGGGAAAGCATGGGAAAGCCAAAGAGAGAAGAGGCGCTTTGAGACGAAAAAAGCAAACAAGGGAAAGCCCCCGAAGGTCGCAGGTCGCGTCTTCTGCAACCGGGGGGTTCGGTTTCGAGTTGCATAAAAGAAAGCTGCACCACCAAACACCGAAAGACTCGCGGGCCTCTGCATCCTCGACGGAACTCGCAGCTGAAGCCCCCCCACCTTAAGCGGTAGAGTTTCGAAGAATCGAAAAAGGGAAGGCTGGCTGCAGGAGTCGGGCCGCTGGCACAGAGGCTGTCGCAGTCGCCTGGCCTCGAAACCGGCGCAAGACGAGGGTAACAGAAGAAGCTTCGATAAAATCACTTACAAGGATCCTGGGGTCCATATGTTCAGGCAAATAAGGATGACCAGGCTGGTCGAAAGCTACCGCGCTGTGCCTTCTTGTTCAACTTCGGGAAGAACCCGGTAAAACCATTGGGCAAAAGAGGTGAAAACGCCATCAAGTTGGCCAGGCCACTCCAGAGCCGAGCCTCGGCTCCCGGCCCCGAGGAGGTCTGCCCCACAAGCCCCTCCCACAAACCGCCCCCAACCTGCCCCCAACCCCCCACCCACCCACGACGACTTTTTGACTCCTTGCTCCTGTCACTTCGCAACTCCCATGCCAAGGGTGAACGCTGCAAGTCATCGAGCAAGGCGGGCAGTTGTTCTGCTTCTCGAGATCGAGACGTGCTGGTAGTAGCCAAGCGGTTCCAAATGAAATGCTGTGTGCAAACCCAGAAAATACGGGTGGCGGGACCACCTCCTTGGCGGGCTTGACTTCGGGCTCTGATGTCCTGATTCCCAACATGGTGATGTGCAGATTCATGCTGTGCGGGTCGCATGGTGATCGCAAGCTCAATGGTTGTGGAGGGGAAGCAGCTTTGGAAATGGAGTGCCGAACAATGGCAAGTTCTGACGAGCACACAGTAGGGGCCCTTCAGCATGCTGGCCCGGGCAACACTTTGGGGGGTGGTGTCGGGGAGTGGTGGCACGACACAGACATCATCGGGTTTAGCTCAGCAGTCGAAATCAAGAATCGTGGCAGGGCGTGCGCAATGTCGAACATCGAAATGTGGCAGCGGGTCCAGGGCGACCCTGTGTTCTAGACACGGAGTCAGGGCAAGACCAGCTTAGGGTGGCAGTGGCCAAGTTTCAAGCTGGTCGTTTGAATCAGCACATGCACAGCCGCGCGGCATCACATCTGCCAGTTGGTCCCTGGAATCAGCACCGGTTTTTACGTAAATGCATAGCCGCATAGCATCCCGGCTTGAAAATGGTCGTATTAGCTAAAATCAGCACCGGCTTCAATGTGAATGCACAGCCGCGTGGCATCCCGGAGTCAAGCTGGTGTGTACATCAACACCGGCTTCTGGGTAAATGCACAGCCGTGTAAATCAGCACCGGCATCCACGTGAATGCACAGCGGCATGGCATCAAAACGTCAAGCTGGTCGTTTTGATCAGCACCGGCTTCAACGTGAATGCACAGCCCGGTGGCATTCCGGCTTCAGAATGGTCGTTTCTGTCATTTACATCAGCACGGGCTCAGACGTGAAT